CCCCAAACTTATTCCTGATCTCCAGCTTGGTTTAGCTCATAGCAGACAAAACATTGCTGGTGTGGGATTGATTAAAAATCTGGAAGCGTGTGGGAATGGCTGAGTTAGAATGGGAAGAAAATGAAAAGACATCTGGGGATGCTTGATGGTGGGTGTGGCACTTGGGGACATGGTTTAGGAGTGGGCTTGGTAGTGCTGGGTTAATGCTTGGACTCAATGGTCTTAAAGGTTTTTTTCCAACCTAAAGAATTCGGGTCAATGCCATTGTGAAATTCCATCAAGTGGCCAGGATTTAGGAAGGTGGTTTCTCTGGGGCATGCCATGAAAATTAGGGGGTGGTGGAAGGAGAATTGAACCTGGGGAGGGTCAGTTTGGTCACAGCCAAGGCTGGGCCTCCCCATTTGCTGGGGTGAGCCAGGTTTAGCCCCATTCTGCCTCCCCATGATGGAGCTTGTACCTTGATAATTGCAATGAAAGCAGCAATCAGGTTGGTAATTTTGCTGAGCTCTTTTCAGTTCTAATTAACATTATTCATTTCTTGTGTGTCCTGCTGGGTTGAGACAATCTGTGCTCTCCAGCCCAGCCCTCTGGAACACCAGCAATCTGCATAAGAGGCAACAAAAAAGTGTTGTGTGCCAATTACTACACTTCAGTAATTAAAAACCTCCTTCCCCCCACTGCCTGCCCACCTCCTCTCATGTCATTTTTTTGTGTGCAAACTCGAGAAAGCAAAGAGAGAAATTCAGGAGGGCACGTCACTGCTGGTGTGTGCCATCTGTGTCTGCTCGGGAGTGCAGGGAGGTGCTGGGGGCTGGATGCAGCACGAGTGGGATCAGTGGTCAGGGAACTCAGCATCAGCACCCTGCTGCTTGTTTATTCCTGGTACTTGTTTATGAGGCTGTTTTGTCCCCACTGATGCCTTTATTGGCATTTTCAGCTCATCTTTGTGCTTGCTGGCAGGATCCTTGTGCTGTTGCTTTCCCTCTTCCAATTTGTCTTTGAGTGCTGTCCCTACAGCCAGGTGGGCTGTTGGCTGCACCTGTGGGGCCCTGTGAGATGCATCAGCTCAACCCTCAGGCTGTGGAAATGTTTGGGAATACCAGTCTGGGGGAGAGTGGCCAGTCCCTAATGTGTCAACTTGATAGAAGAGGGTGGATAACAAAGCCCAGAAATTTTGGCTGTGGGAGATGTTGACAGATCTGGAAGGGGCAGCACCAGCCTGTTTCCCTTTGCACCCACCACACATCATTAACTGGGAGGTGCAGGGCAAGGGATGAGCAGGTGGGTTGGGACAGCTGAGGAGGATGGAGATTCACAGCTCTCACCCTTGCTCAGTGCATGTAACTGTCTAAAATGCCCAAATTTGTGGTCATTTGGAGGTGCCCTCAGAGGCCACAGGGAGCAGAGGGTCTGGTGCAGCATGAGGAGGTGCATCTCCCTGCAAACCATTCCTGCCTGCCCCAGGAAGATGTAGAAGTGGTGAGTTAGGCAGAGTTCCCATCTCCCAGAGAAGAAACCCCAAGGCTTGGAACTCTGGGTTTATTGGGAGAGAAACAGCAGAGAGAGGCAGCAGTATCCAGAGCAGCATCATCTCCACCTTGTGCTGGCACACAGCAGGTTTTCATCTTCCTGGAGAAGTCCTTGCTGTCTGAGCAGGAGTGGAACAAGGATTAAGGATCTTGAGAGAGAAAATTACCTCATCTGTGCATAATTGTTTTTAGATCATCTTTTTGGAGGCAAGCACTGCTTTCCGGCACCCCAAGGACCTCTCCCTCCCCTCCTTCCCTGGCACATCAAGGGGAGAGAGGGAAAGTGAGAGCTTCCAGCGAGGTGGAGGAGGCATCCCAGGGCTTTGCACTTTGCCAGGAGCAGGGTGGGAAGAGGGGAGGCTGTGGGCTCGGCGGTGGCTTTGCTCTCCACCTGTGCCTGGAGCGTGGCTTCCCGGCCAAAGCCAAAGGCTTTCTGCTCGGCTGCCCGTGTGTGGGAGAGGAGGCTTCCCATCCCTGCACTGGGCTGCTGGAGAGAGGAGCTGCTGGAGGAGGGAAGGAGGAGCAGATGGAGGGGCTGGAAGAGCATCGGGTCGCTGTGACAAACCTCAGCCATGGGGACCCCGACTGGTGCTTGTGCGAGGAGGAGCAGGAGGGGCTGGAGGAGCAGGAGGTGCACAGTGCTTGGAAGCAGCTCAGGAAGGAGCACAGCTGCCAATCCCTAAATAGCCCAGTGCATCCAGAGGTCAAAGCACCTCTTTCCCAGGAGCTGTGCTGTGCTTTATTATATATATATTTATATATATATATATATGTTGGCTCAGGAGCTTTAAGAGGCAGGGAAGAATATAAAGTAACAGCTTGAAGCTTGCCGATCCCAGGGACAGGGAAGCGTGTCTGGATGATAAGGAGAGATTGTGCCTGGGTGCTGTGAAGGGCGAAAGCACTTATTTCACTGTTGCCTCATGCGTTACCTGAGCCCCGTTGCTTTTCAAAAGCACTTAAATGCCCATATGATAGAGGGAATGCTTGGATTGCACACTGTCTGGCTCCATTATTATCCAAGGATCTCCAAGCTGATGCATTTCATAAAGAAAACCGGCGTGGAGGAGGAGAGAGGAAATATGTATTTTTAGTTCGGCCTGCTTACAGTTCCTCAAGGTAACATCTGCAGAGGGGATTGGGTGAGAAATTCAAGTCATGTCTGGTTTCTCATCACCCAGCCCTGGACACCCCTGTGTTTGTGCAGAACCACCACCACAGGAGCCTATTTCATGGTACCAGAGCCAAACACCAAATAACCACTTCATTTTATTCGAGCCCCATAGGTCTGAGCTACCAGCAGAGCTGAGATGTGGAGTTCAATAGACTAAACCCATCCGCTGGGAAGAAATCTCCAGTTTAATTCAACTTGTGCAACTAAACTCGCAGGCCTTTTACTCAAGTTGTAATGCAGCTGAGAGCAAGAGCCAAGTTCTTGGTGTTCAGCCCAGTCTGAATCTATTGCTTTTTTTAATGTAGATCATAAAAATCTGCTCACACTTAATTTATTATTATCGTAATATCATTATGGAACAGTAGTAAAATGGTTTAATTTATTGGCTGTTTTTCACACCAGGGAGGGAGGATGGAGCAGGAGTTGGGTACTGGCAAACCAGGGGTGTCCTGTGCTGCAGACAACACATCTCCTCTGTCACCCCCAACCCCCAAAATTTGTGTGTTGAGGCTGGGTGGGTTATTTTAGCTTCTCCTGTAATCACTGGGGACAAAGAGGTTCCAAAAGGAGGCTGAATGAGATGAGACAGCTTGTCCCCAGGTGGGTACCTGTGTCTTCCCTGGTATCTGTAATGGACACAGGAAGAGAAGTCTTCCATCACAGGGTCATTAAGGTAGGAAAAGCCCCTAAGATCAGTCCAACCATTCCCCTGTACTGCCAGGTCCTCCACTAACCCATGTCCCTAAGTGCCACATCTATGTGGCTTTTACATCCCTCTAGTGACTCCAACACTGCCTTGGGCAGCCTGTGGCAGGGCTTGACCACCCTTTCAGTGAAGAAATATTCCCTAAACCTTCCCTGGTGCAACTTGAGGCCATTTCCTCTTGTCCTATCACTTGTTACCATGCAGAAAATGTAAATCTTCACCCAAAGGGGGCTATGAGGACCCCCAGTAAGGAGACAGCTCACCCAGAGAAAGGACACACTCCCGAAGGTGTCCAGGACAAGTCCATGTGCCACAGATAAATCCACCCTTGCCATTACCTCCCCTGTCAGTGCAGTCTGGCACATGGAGCCCATTAAGTCCCTTACATTCCTTGAAGTCATCCCCAGTGAGATGTCCCAGAAGCTGCTGGGCTCTCTCTCGGTGCCTCTGAAGTTAATTTGCATCCCAGCCACTGCACAAGTAATGAAGTAGTTTGGGGAAGAATATAAACAGTGGATCTTAGGCTGAGTGGTTTTATGCAGGGACATTATGCTCTGGAGCCAGTATCCAGCTAAGCATGGCTAAATCCCGATGGCTCCGTAATCCCAAAATTTCTCAGGGAGAAGCAGGGGTTTAGCTGGCTGTGGGAGCTGCATGTTTCTGCTGTTTAGAGAAGGTCTGGATGCTTTTCTTGTGGAAATAGGAGGATTCAAACCTGGCTTGGGGACATGGGGATGGGGGGGTTACAGGGCTTGCAGAAACCTTTGGGAGGAGCAAGACTGATCCCAGCTAATGTTGACAGGAAAATAATCTCCCTCAGGATCAAAATAATTTCTGGATTTGCACTGCGTTGTCTCCAGGGGGAACTCAGGTGCTTATTGAGGCTGAATATAGAGGATTTCTACTTCCAGAACATCCCTGGATAAGTGAAATGCTCAGCTCTGGTGAGGTGCACAAGTGAGGGAGGTGCAGCGGAGCAGTTGATGGGTACAGAAGGAAAAGTTGACAGAGGGGACAAATGGTCAGATGTTCAAGGTTTCTCTTTAGAGGTGTGTGTCAGAGCTGGCTTTCTCCAGAGATAAATTTTCCTCACTTCTTTGTGAAGCAGCACAAGTTTTTCCAGCATCACTTCGCATCACTTTGTGTGGCTGCAGGGATGTGAAGGTCTGCAGAGAGAATGACAGGTGATGGATTTGGGCAGGAAGTAACAAACTGCACCCCCCAAAAAAAAAGCGTGGACTCGGGTTGGAGGTTTGGGCTCAGCTCTGTTTGTCTGGGAGTTTGCAAAAGAATAAATTGGAATGGAGGAGTGAAAGGCTGGTACTGGGTGGCTCTGACCTCCCTGCATCTGAAAACTCTGTGAAGCTGTTGGTCAGATCTCTGGAGTCGCTAGTTTAGATGGATATTGGTGTCCTGAGCACCACAGGGAAAGCGCTGACCTTGTCCTCTTTGGACACTGAAAGCACTTGGTCTCTGAAAGTGCTGCTGACAGCAAAGCTAAAAATAGTGCCAGGAGGACCAGGAGGGCTGGAAGGGAGGGAGAGCGCCCAAGAGCAGCGCACTGATGGGTCACCTCTCTGCCTCTCCCCAGGTGCTCCGTGGACAACCGGGTGACCCGGGTGGCCTGGCTGAACCGCAGCAGCATCCTCTATGCCGGCAATGACAAGTGGTGCTTGGACCCTCGGGTGGTGCTCCTGGCCAACACCAAAACCCAGTACAGCATCCAGATCCAGGATGTGGACGTGTATGATGAGGGCCCCTACACCTGCTCTGTGCAGACAGACAATCACCCCAAGACATCGCGTGTCCATCTCATCGTGCAAGGTAAGAAAAAGGAGTTTGTAGAGGGCTTGGGCCTGGGACTTTGCTTTCTGTTGCTTTTGCCCTAGTGTCTTCTCCTCCCCTTGCTCCTATGTTGAACATTTGACACAGCTTGGTGCAGAAGTAGAGGCTGATCCACAAGCTTGGATTGTCCCAAGCTGGGTAATGACTTTCACAGAATCAGAGAATTTGCTGAGTTGGAAGGGACCCACAAGGATCTACAAGGATCATGGAGTCCAGCTCCTGGCCCTGCACAGCACTATCCCCAAGAGTCACACCATGTCTCTGAGGGTATTCTCCAAATGCTTCTTGAACTCAGTCAGGCTTGTTTTTATCCAACTTTGCTGACATAATCCCAGGGCTCTGATACAGGCAGCTCTGCCTCCCGACACTGTCACTGGCAAATCCATGGTGCTGCTTGTTGTTATTGTTGGGTTTTGATGTTTTTTTGTTTTCCAAGCTGGAGGCAGTGCTTGAAGTAAAACTTGTGTTGGGGGAAAAGCAAGAGCTGACAGATTTGTGTGCTCTGTGGGAGTGTGTGTATGCCTAGCAACAATATGTGTTTGTGTGTTGAAATTCCATGCTTTTGGAGGAGGAAGAGGAGGAGAAAGACCAGCACAGGGTGCTGGGGCACTTTTGGTGTCTAAGTGGATGCCTACATGTGCTCTTCAGCAAGAGTGTGACTTCTTGAGAGGGGACAGACAGGTGTGGCCACATGGGATGGTCAAGCAGATGGACATTCATGGAAGATTGATCCTGTGCCCATGTGGCTGGGCAAGAGCTGGACAAGGGGGAACCTCATGGAGGGACACACTGGAGGGACACACGGAGCCTGATGAGCTATTAGCCTGGGGGAAGATTAATGGAAAATTCCTAATCCCTTGCTAGCAACCATTTTTTTTCATGCTGCTTCTTCTGTGATTTGGCCGGGAGCCCTCTTAACATGACACACCAGCCTGAGTATTGGAATCTCGTCTCGGGCTAATTTTCGAATGCTGATGGGTGTATTGATTTGGAAACAAGCTGGGTTAAAAAGGCATTGGTCTTGTACACAGAGTCGGGTTGAGCTAATCCACCGTCGATATTCCAGGCCTGAGCACTATTGACAGCCTAATGAATAGAAGTGGGGAAAAAACCCAGACTCAGGGCCTTTATTTTTCTTCTTCCCTCCCTTTTCATTTTCCTTTTCCTCTTCAAGCAATCAAGCTGACTAACCAGAGCCGGACTTTCTCCATCTCCATTAAGCGCAGAGAGGAAGCGGATGCATTGCCAGCCCCGGTTCTGGCTGTTTATCTTGCAATCTCTTATTACCTGCCTGAATTTCTTAAGCCAAAGTCGATTGCCAGCAAGTTCTGAAGTCGCTATCAGATGCTGGGGTGATGCAGGACAATTTCTATCTGTTCTCTTCTGATTCCTGTTTCCTGACCTAAATTTCCTGTATCACCAGACATCCAGGCCCATCCCTCCCCTGTCTTGCTGTATCATTAGGAAGAGATATTTGGGTACTGCAGGAAAAGGTCAGAGCTTAACTCCTTGCAGCAGTTAAGTACGGGATGATTCAGTGACGGGCTCAGTCCTGTAATGTGCTGAAGATCCTCATGCTGCCAGCAGAAATTCCAGCTCCGGAGAGCGAGCCCCCTAATTTGAAGCTCTGTTCTTTGGCTCACCCAGCCCTTTCTCGGAGCAGGACATGAAAGTGAATTATCATGTCCAATTAAAGGGAAACCTGCCTTAATGACCTCGATGAAAATTGGGCTGTGGTGCCAGGATTAACTCTCCTGCCTTGGAAAATGGGCCCTATAAATATGTATTCTGGAATAATCCTGTCCAAAACAACATTCAGCTTGGTGGAAGTGGTGCTTATTCCCCCTCCTAGGAAAGCAGGTTTGCTCAGCACTGGATTTCAGGGATGTGCCAAGTTCAGCACACGGCCCTGGGACATTTTGCCCCTTTCTGCAGCTTGATAGGAAAGGAGAGGTGATTCGAGGAGGTGGGAAAGGAGGTGTCTCCTTGTTAACAGGTTTAGCCAGGAAGAGGAAGGTGTGCTGCAGGCTGCTCTAAGCAGGTCCTGAGTTTCCCCTTGCTGCACCAGGAAAGGGCCTGGGGGCACAGCTCCGGAGGTAGGAGCACTCCAGCCTCTCAGGATGCAATTAAATTGTGCCCCGGGGCAGGCTGTGCTCTCCAAAGGGACTGGCTGCTGGGGGAGCAAGGAGCTCTCCCCCTTGCAGCCAGGATTGCAGCAGCCTGCTGCTCCCCCAGGCAAGCAGGATGGGTGCATATCAGCCAGGCCCAGACACTCTGAGCCCATGCCTGCATCCCTGCTCCTCCCAGGTTTAGGGGATATCTCTGGGAAACAGCTGTGGATGGAGGGCATCTGTGGTTTTCACCAAGGGCTGACGGAGGGGAGCAGAGCTATGGGAGGGGGGAGAGCAAAACACAGGAGAGGAGTAGGGGCGGGAGAAGGATATTCCTTCAGGGTACGAGGGTCAGGAATAATCCCCAAAGAGAATATGAGGTAGAAGCACAAGGAACTAAGGATGCCCACACTGCAGTGAGGGGTGAGCTGCACATTTATTTCTAGGTTGGCTCTATTGGATGGCCAAGATCCCAAAATAGGTGGGGAAAAGGCACCTCAAGAGCTAATTTATCCCGTCCCCCTGCAACCAGGCAGAGACCTCACTGCCAAGCACATGTGAAAGCTATTCTTGAAAATCTTTAACAAAGCAGGTTCTTCATTCTCCCCAGACAATCTATTCTACTGCTTTGCTACCTTTTTAATTAGAAAATGTATAGCTAATATCTAACTTAAACCTTCTTTGTTGCAAATGAAGTGGAGTTTTTCTCAGCCTATTCCCAGTGGATGTGGGGAACAATTGATCAGTGTCCTCTGTAATAACCTTTTGCTTTTGGGAAGGTTGTTATCCTGGTGCCCCTTAGCCACCTTCTTTTTGAAACCATCCAAGCTCTGTTTTTCCCACTTTTCCTCATTGGCCAGGCTTTCAGAAACACTTGTCAGTCTTGAAATCCTGGTACAAAAGGGAAAAGGTGATTGCTGCTGATCCAGGAATAGCAGGTCGGTGCCTCTGTGCTAATGTGGGACAAATGAGCTCAGGAATGAGACAGAGACCCTTGGCACCGAATGCACCAAAGTTCAGACCTGCTATTTTGGGGACTGCTCTAAATGGGGTCAGGCTGGTGGTGCCAAGCTGATGTCAGCCAACAACAGAGCTGCCAAAGGCACAAGGAGGTTCTTAGCACCTGGATCCCTCCTGAGCAAATGCACCCAGATTACAGACAGAGCTAAAATGAGCAGCTCAGGGAGCATCCCTGTCATCTGCAGGGTCTGGAAGGTGCTCCCACTCCTTCAGTACTCATTCCTTCTTAGGAGGACTTGCCATGAGACCAGACAAAGCACCAAAAAGCAGCTCTGCCTGTGTTTGCAGGAGTCTCCCTTGGACCTTGGGGAGGGTGAGATGTTTTTGGGAGTAAATCCCAAAGAAACAAAATCCAAGGAAGACCCACTTGCAATAGGCAAGCTGTGAACTTGGAGTGCGGCAGAAACGCAGAGAGAGAAACAGGATTTAGGTCCCACTGACCTCTGAGGAGCGATGCTTTTCCTTCCTCTCCTCTCCTGTATCCCACTCTGGCTTCCTCAGCAAGTCCTACTTCTTGCAGCAGCATCTCAGACACAGCCTCCCCTTTCTCCCTGCTCCCTGCAGGACATTTCAGCTATTTAAGCCATTCTCTGGGTTCCTGGGTTTAAAGGAGAGAGGCGAGGTAGGAGGAGAAGGACGCTATCTGGAAAGCTGTTATTTGTATTGATAATAAGCCGTCTCCAATGCGTGCCTGCAAAACACTCCCACTGCCTTGTAAGATGCATTAAGGGAAGTTGGCCTTATCTCAGTGTGGGAAATGGACTTGGGGAAGGAGGCACGGAGCCTGCCAGAGTTTAATCTCACTTAGGCACACGAATTTGCATGATAGAAAATGGTGGAATTTTAGTGCTTAAAAAGAAAGAAAGAAGAAGGAAAAAAAAAAAGCAAAAGCAGGCGACTGGGGGGGATATTAGTGCTTTTCCTGCTTCTTTATCACTTTCCCTGGCCCTATCTGGCTCTTGCTGTTGTCACTGGAGAAACTAATCACCCCTCCCCTTTTGTTTGGTGTAAATGAGTTTTCCCCACTCCTTCCGGAGCCCAGGTTAATCTTCAAATCCCTGCCTTTGTCTGGGAGTTAATTACCTGCTCGACAGAGTCGGGGTGCTGTGGACACAGGTGGCAGGGGGCAGAGGCGGCAGTGCTGGTGGCACCTGTCCCCACGCAGGGAGCAGCGCTGCCAAGGCCTGTGCCGGCGAGATAAAGCCACCACTGGGGCTGTGGTGCCTGAGCCGGCTTTGTTTCAACCACCAAAATCTGCCCAATTAATTTTCCTTTGATGCCACAAGCCCCTTTCACTCGTGGGACATCAAGGAGAACTTTTTTTTGCTGTTTTGCTGCCTGGGTGCCTGGGAAATGCCTTTGCTGAGAGGAAGGCTCAGTCCCTGTAGTCATCCTCACCTTACCTGTGAGGCTGATGCCACCAATGCCTGCATTGCACATGCCCTGTTCTGGGAGCAAGGAGGGAAAACAGATTTGCCCACCAGTGGCAGAGGATGTGCAGACATTGGTCACGTTTGAAGCCGTGAGCTGGAGTTTCACACTGGGTAAGATGCTCCCCCTGCTTCTGACATGGATTTACTGATGTGTCCACACATTTCCCCCGTGGGGGCAGCTATTCCTTCTAGAAGCAAAAGCAGGTTTAGATAATAACTCCTGAAAGGCATGGGGGAGCTGGGAGAGCTCCCCAAAGCAGTGAAGGGGAGGAAACCAGTGGCATGAAATGGAAATCCTCCCTCGCTTCCCCTGTGCTCTCGGCTCCTTTGACTGATGTGTTCCTTCCCCGGCTCTCTTTTGTTGCTAATCACCATCCCTCAGTCAAAGCATCCTTGCCTTTTGTATCAGGGCTCT